ATTAACATGGATGTGATTGTACAACATTTTTAAAATTATTAAATAATTTTTTCTTTAAGTATGTTATACAATCATATCCATGTTAATGCAGCTTATTAAAAAAAAGGAAAAAAAAGAAGAAAAAAGACAAGATTCGAACCAGCAAACGTGCAACAGTTCGTTCTAGTAGTCAGTCGTCTTACAGCCGTTCACAGCTACTAGTGCTCGACGATTGATCTTTCACGCATGGGTACATTACAGACACGGAAAAGTTTAAGCTAATTTTTCTCGCGAATGCTTGAGAGTTGCGTCGAGTGGCTTTACCAGTAATTAATAGGAAGGTAATACTATTATATATTTAAAGTCCATCAAAATCGGAGAGGACAAATCCTGAGCCTCTCCTTGTAAGGGGAAACAAGGCGCCAGGATACGACTTAATTACCGGTAAAGTACTAAAAGAGCTACCGCAAAAAGCACTAAGATTTATTACTTTTGTCTACAACGCTATACTAAGGCTTGACTACTTTTTGGCACAATAGAAAGTGGCGCAAATCATGCTAATACCAAAGCCTGGAAAAGAACCTGAAAAAGTAACGTTGTATAGGCCAATAAATCTACTACCTATCTTGTCAAAAGTCTTTGAAAAATTCATCCTAAAAATAATCAAACCTGTTTTGGAAAGCAATAGTACCATCCCTGAACACTAGTTTGGTTTTCGCGAACAGAACGCTACAATAGAGCTGTGGCGGCTCACCGCCATACCGCTGCACTGAAGTGGCCTAGTACGCCGCGGCGCCGCTACGCGCCGCAGGGCCTCTGCGTTATGAGCCTGCAGATACACCACCAGGTTGCGCAGGCGGTGTAAGGCTCTCTCGCAATCGAGAATCGATCAACACCGTATAAAAGAGCTTCGACGCAAGCTTTTCCTCACTCACTCGCTTCAAGGCGAGCTCTCTACTAGGGCCCTTGAGCTGAGTATTAACTCTGCAGTAGCAGAGCGTGACCAGAGACAAATTTTTCTCGCCGTTTTTCTCACAGTGCCTAGAAAGGCACGTAAAAGAAAAACAGAGTCCCAGCTTCAGCCGCACACTTCATCCAAGCAACCCGCTGACTCACCAGCACCGCCGTCATCCCCACAGACTCTACAGTGGAAATTAATTCCCTTAGAGTTCTGTGTCCGGCTGACCCGGCCTCCAAGGGATACTCTAGTTGCTGGGGATATTCGAATTCGGAGACCTTTCTCTCCTCGCTACACAGAACACTTTGTTGCACCGAGAGCCGAGACGGTCACTTCATCAAGCACACCAGAGACTCGCTCCGTCGCAATACAAACCTCGCCGCCTAGGGCGTGCTCGGAGAGTTGCCAGACGGAAAACCACTTTCCAAACGGAGTCCCTCCAACACCCGGGAAAGGGTTGCAACGAGCATCGTCTATCGAACCATCCTTCTTAGGACCGTTTCAATATACCAAGACACGGCCGCGATTTCTTACCGCGCTCATCAATTTTTCTTTTAACTTCTCGATCTTACACCTTTGCCGAGAAAGCGCCTCTGGCGCAATAAAAAACTCAAATATAAACTTGTACATACACACCTTCTCTGACGAAGAAAATAAAATATATATTTTCTAATACATTGCATGATATAAATACAAGGGTATGCTCATTACATGTCAAACCACTGCGCATCTCCAAGATTACGTCATAGATACGTCATACATCGGCTGCTATTCAATATGGCGCCAGTAAGTTTTAGGTTTGTTCACATTAGAGCATTACTTCTGCTAGAATTAGATGAGTTGGAAGTTAGCGACATTATTGAAGAAGAGGGATTGAAATATATAGCAGGATACGTGGCGTTCAGATTCAAAAATAAGTACACCACATTAGATGTTGAAACGCGTCAGCTTGAGACAATAAACAATCAAGATTGGCTACAATTTATATCCCGAGGAAAGTGCATATATTCATCCGAAGAACTGTTACAAGTAGCACGTATAATGAATATTGAATTCAATAAATATCATGGGTCTAGTCTGCGTAAAGATAAATTCATTTTTCAAACGTTGATGAATATTATACAACCTAATTTAAAAAGTGAAATGCCGAAAGAAGTTTTGTTATGTCTAATTAGAACGAGAACATATATTAGACTAAACGAATTTAATAAATTAATTGCTTCTGCAAATTACAGGAAAAAAACAGAAAAAATGTCCAAATTTACAAATAAAAAACCTGTTTTATAATATCTTTCTCTACTCTTATTTTATTTGTCTTTTCCATATGTTTTCTGTCGTAATACATTCTAATAATTTTTGTATAATATATAATAAATAATTTTTATATATAAATAAAATACTTACTTTCAAAAACCGCTGTATTTTAATATAAAAAACGTTTATTACTCTTTTTATTTCATATTCAGCTCACAATCAGTAATTTGATGTTTAAAACTATATTTTGTCGTTAAATGTTCGCATTTCACACACTAATCAGACCATATTGCAATTTACATTAGCATGCATATAACAGATTCTATACTATTATGTAGAATATATTACCGTAGCATATTTTGTAATTCCATATTACTGCCATTTAAACATAGTAACAATTTTATCTGGAAAATGCTTTTAATAATAATTATGTAAAGTCGCTGCTTTAAATTTACCGCTCAGTGTGACGTAGCCTTGGAGACAGTTCCTCATTGGTCGCTTTCTACAAGATGCGTAAGAGCATACCCTTGTATTTATATCATGATACATTGGTTCTCACAACTTTCTCACCAGTTCGAACACATCTTTAAGGCATTACGCCCATAAACTGGTGATCCCGACGACTGGTTGAGAGAAATGAGCCAATCAGAGAAAGCTGGCGAGACGCCAGGCGCCGACGCAGCTCAGATCGGCAGAGTATCGGTGCATGTACCGCCATTCTGGCCGGAGGAACCAGAATTATGGTTCGTCCAATTGGAGAGCCAGTTCCTGTTAAACGCGGTCACGTACGATTCAACCAAATACGCGTACGCAATCTCGCAGATCGAGACAAAATACATCAAGAAAATCAAGGATCTGATAACCAATCCACCGGCATTTGGGAAATACGAGGCGGTTAAAAGAGCACTAATCCAACGGCTGAGCGACTCGAACAGGAGCATTCGCCAATTGTTAGAGCGCGAGGAACTAGGCGACAGAAAGCCGTCGCAATTCCTGCGCCTCCTACGGACGCCGGCAGTACGGTATCGGACCAACTCTTGCGCACGCTTTGGCTGAGGCGATTACCGGCCCAAATGCAAATAATCCTAGCAACTCGAGCCGACGATCTCCTCGAAGACGTAGCGGAGCAAGCAGACCGCGTCTATGTCACATGCCGAACCGTTGCAGTCGTGGACAAGCCAAAAGAGAAAGCACCAAAACCTACTGGCTCGCTGGAAGAACAGATCCAGTCATTGGTTAAACAAGTCGTGGCACTCAACACGCGATTGGGCCGACAGGAGCAGCGCCACAGACAGCAGCGCCGCAGATCGCGCAGCCGCAGTAGGACAAGATCAACGTCGGAAGACGAAAGCGATCTTTGCTTTTTCCACCGACGATTCGGCAGCAAGGCGAGAAAATGTACAGAGCCATGCACGTACAAAGAGAAGAAGGAAAAAGCGGAAAACTAAAAGGGCCGGAATCAATGGCGGCAGACGGCCCGGACCCGAAACCATGCCGCCTACTTGTAACAGATAGGCAAACAAAAGTTCGGTACCTCATCGACACGGAATCGGACATAAGCGTCTACCCGCGCTCGATGGTACGCGGACGGATGTCCGGAGCAACGCAGGCCCTATTCGCAGCTAATGGTTCACTCATCCACACTTATGGATGGATCGCGCTTCAACTCAACATCGGATTAAGGCGCGCCTTCCAATGGAAGTTCATAGTGGCTGACGTCACGCAGTCAATCATAGGATCCGATTTCCTTGGCTACTTCCACCTTCTGCCGGATGTACGAAAGAGTAAGCTATTGGACGCAACAACCGGATTGGCTACAAACAGCTTCCAAAGCAGAACTGGACAAGCATCAATCAAAACATTGTTACAGGAAACAGCTTTCCACGCCTTATTGGCTGAATTTCCGCAGCTCACTAACCCGACCGGAAAGACGGAATCCGCGCCGCACTCAACGATGCGTTACGTCGAGACCAGGTCCACCGGAAGCGTGCAGGCCGAGGAGACTGGCGCCGGAAAAACTCAAAGAGGCTAAACAACAATTTTATTTACTGCTGCAGGAAGGGGTAATCGCGCCGTCTAAGAGCAAGATCTATAGAGAGAAGGTTACCTCATGCGCAAAGAGGGACGAGCGGCAAGAGGGGCAAATGCAGAGAGGGACGAGCGGCAAGAGGGGCAATGATGATCTCATCGGCAAACAGAAGCTATCTCAGACAGCTACTGTTTGTCGATGAGATCATCATGCTCTCCCCTTCCTTCATCGCCCCTCGCCATCAAGCTGTTTTTAGCTCCCCCCTTACTTCATCGTCCCTCGCCCACAACCGATTTTTCTGAGGTAACCTTCTCTTTATAGATCTTGGTCTAAGAGCGCATGGGCCTCGCCGTTGCATATGGCACCTAAAAAAGGTGGCACGTGGCGACCATGCGGCGATTACCGCAAGCTCAACAACCGAACGGTGCCGGACAGGTACCCGATTCCGCACATCGAGGATTTCACACAAGCTCTTCACGGGAAATCAATTTTCTCCACACTGGTTAGAGCTTACAACCAGATTCCAGTAAATCCGGAAGACGTGCCTAAAACGGCGATCACCACACCGTTCGTCCTATTTGAATTTCTTAAAATGCCTTTCGGCTTAAGAAATGCAGCTCAAACGTTCCAAAGATTCATCAATGAGGTGACACGCGGGCTTGATTTCTGCTACGCCTACATTGATGACATCCTGGTAGCATCTCACGACAAGGAAGAGCACAAAAAGCATTTAAGATTATTGTTCCAAAGATTCAGCAAGTAAGGAATACAACTCAACCCGGCAAAATGCGTGTTCAGCAAAGAGGTCGTAGCATTTTTGGGGTATCAAGTCTCAACAGAAGGAACACAGCCTTTACCGGAGAAGGTCGAGGCGATACGAAATTTCCTGAAGCCTACCACTGTCAAGCAGCTTCGGCAGTTCCTCGGAACATTGAATTTTTACAGGAGATTTATTCCGGGAGCGGCCATGAACCAGGCTACTTTAAATAACGCGCTCAAAGCCAATCAGAAGGGAAAAACACCAATTGTATAGAGCGCAGAAAGAGAGGCAGCATTCGAAATGTGCAGAGAGAGCCTCGCACGTGCAACGCTTTTGACGCATCCAGATCCGACAGCGGAACTTTTTTTGACGACCAACGCCTCGGATTTTGCAATTGGAGCAGTAATCCATCAGCATGGCAAACACGGACAGCAGCCGGTGGCGTTCCTCAGCAAAAAGCTGACCGCCACGCAGCAAAAGTACAGCCCGAACGACCGAGAGCTCCTGGCGATTTACGCAGCCGTCAAACACTTTCGTCATTGATTGGAAGGAAGGGAGTTCACAATATACACGGACCACAAACCGGTCACAATCAAATCGGAGTCACAAAATCCAATCACAAATCAGTCACAATCAAACCGGAGATTTTTTATTTTTGTAATAAGTACTGATAATTAACGAAAAAAGATCGGTGAATCCGCTCGAGTAAAGCGCGCGCGGTGAGAAGGACGTCCCACAGCTACGCGATCACTAGGCGCGCGATGAAGCGGTGACAGGAGCAGCGGCTATCAATACGAGCAGCGTATAATACTACAGCACTGCGTCGAATTATTCTCTCTCCCTCTCTCTCTTTTTCTCTCTCTCTCTCTCTCTCTCTCTCTCTCTCTCTCTCTCTCTCTCTCTCTCTCTCTCTTCTCTTCTCTTCTCTCTCTCCACCTCTCCTTTTCTTATATTTTTTTCTTATTCTTTTTTCTATGACACACCATATTACTTTTCAATTGTCGTTTTTTTTAACTGCGGCCAAAGCACTGTTGTTACATGCACCTAACGCACAAATCATGTCCGTATACTCTCGATTGCTATCTGTAGTTATATCGGCAGTATAATAGAAACTAAGAGCTCATTTCGATAAGCGTAAGAGAAGAGTACGAATAATACAAAAAAAAAACAAACAACATAATATCAACGGTATTTACACACATCAAGATAGTCTACAGTAAAATCCGTTGAGTTGAGACTTAATCAAGTACTCGCTTACTCGATAAACTTTTAAAGTCATTTTTCTCGGAAACAAAACCTCGTATGAAAATACTTTATTCTATATTTTTGATTCAGTTTTTTATGTAGAATCATCACCTTTCCACTTGTACCACCAGTTACATGACACCCTGTATATTTAGATATAAAGGTTGCTTTATTTAAGTTGGCACAACTAAATATCTCGAAAACAATGCACTTCAGAAACAAATATCTCGGACAAAAGTGGTTTGTTTTTGAGGGAGAAAGAGAGACGTATTCATTTTTTATTTTGTGAATGTTTTCAAGATTATTTGAAAATCAACTTTTGTTTTTTCAAATGAGAACTTATTATTTTTTAGCACCTTCTATTCTACGTAAAAAAACAAACAACTTTTGTCCGAAACAATTTTTTATTTGACTTTTATTTTGAAAGATGTTTGAAAAATATTTGAGCACTAAAGATATATGAGGCATTTAATTGGCACATCTGAATATCTCGAAGACAAAGCATTTTATGAAAAAATGTTTCAGACAAAGTTTGTTAAGTTTTAAGAAAGGAATGAATTGTTGTAATTACCACGATTTCTGGTGGTTATGCCAAAGATAAGTTATGCATTATTTGTCAAAAAGAAAACTTTATTTGTCAAATTATTTTAATAAATGCTCAAAATGGTGATCTTCAATTTCGATGCACTTATCAATACGCTTCATAAAAGATTGGTGGGTACGTAATAGAGTTTCCCTATCAATACTTCTGCAAGCATTTATAATGCGCTCTTTTATATTCCCTGGTTGATTGGTACGTCCTAGTAAACTATTTATTTAAGATATCCTCATCCAAAATTAAGAGAAGTTAAGTCTGGCGATCGAGCAAGCCAATGTACTAAACCAGCCCGTTTGATCTACCAGTTATTATAATCCCCATTCATAATTTGTCGTGCAACATGCGAGTAATGTGCCGGAACCATTGTACATAAACCACATATTCATTCTTTCTTCTAAGCTTAGTTCCTCAAGAAGCAATGATAATTGTTGCGCCAGAAGTTTCGATACTTCTCTCTATTCAATGTACCGTTATTAAGGGAACATATACACCTTAGAAAAATAAAAAAATGGAATTTTTTTTATTCCGCATATGTTGATGTTCTCCGAACATTTTGCCGCAAATCGCAATTAATTATGTACCAAGATAACAAAGATATGGCTAGAAGAGTTCCGGATAAACAGTGGACCATAATACAAATATTAGCGCCGACACGTTCGACCCTACGGCGGATGTGAGAGCAGTGATGCGCTGTCGTGGGATTTTTTCCCGTACGGAAACCTCCGTGCGCATGCGTAAGCTGACGTCACGGCTAGACGTCGGCTGCTACCACAGATGTATCTAGGTGTACTATAGGGGATATGATAGTTTTCCCGCGTTTTTAGTGACACATGACATATTGTAGTGCATTATAATCAATTACAATTGAAATCAGCTGATATTGTGGAAGAAGATGGATTATCCACAACCATCAACATCAAGTGGCATCAAGAAAAAGAAGAGGAAATAAAAAATGAAAGTATTCCAGTATTCTTGGCTAAGTATTGACATTTTTAAAGATTGGTTAACGCCACATGAAAATAATGAAAAAGCTCTCTGCACGGTTTGTAATAAAGTTCTTTTATGTGGCAAATCAGATTTAATAAAACATTCCAAAACGAAGTTGCATGTTAAGAATGTAGATAAAAGCCGTAATGTCGCACCATCTGCTTTATTACCTAAACTCAATAACAATATTAAAAATGAGGACCATGTTAAAAAAGTTAAAACAGCCGAAATAAAATTAGATACTTTTTACGCGGAACACAATATAGTTTTTCAAATAGTAGATCACTTGGTCCCTTTATTGAAAGAAATTGCTCTAATCCACAGGTGGTTTACGATCTGAAACTGTCAAGGAAAAAATGTGCACAAACAATTGAAAATGTTTTAGGAAAACGCGAAAGTGAAAAACTTATTACAAATTTTAAAAATCAGAAATTTTCAATTTTAGTTGATGAAAGCATAACTATCAGTAATGATAAGTTGCTTTGTATTTTAGTAAATTACATATCATTAGAAAATAAAAAATTTAGAAATATAATAGAAGAGTATTAAAAGCCGTCGCAGGATGTTAGTGCTAAATTTTTAATTTTTCTTAAAGAAATTAATAAATTAGTCCACAAGAGACAGTTAAATTGTACACCGATCTCGGATCGAGATACCTAAAGTGTACGAAATTTTAAGTACATTGTTCCCATATATCGAGAAACTTAATGTACATATAGGAATTATTGGAAAGATATTATATTTTATGTATTTGAAAAACGTGTTTTGTATTAAAAAAACTGAACAAAAAAAAAAAGATGAAATGGAATTGAACCTGTAACCTTCAGATCTCTAGTACTCGTCTTACTCCACTGCGCTACGCCGCCGTCTGACAGATGTTTCACTGCCGTGGTACTAATACAATATAATAAAATTCAAACAGCAATTTCTCGTCAACAGCTGAATAGTGCATCGTCTCCGAATAGTATTTGTTACCACTATACCAATACTACGTACCTATAAAATTTCAGCAAAATCGGTGACCCAAGTTATGTGGGTTTCCCTTGTTAGTGTCGTATAGGTGGCTCTACGGCGCCGAACTTTTTTTCCACCATACTTTTGGGAACAATTATAAATTCTAATATTTTTAATCAGGTGAGGAAGAGTGCCCGTCTGGCCAGCCGTTTCCGGCCAGACTGCTGGTAGGAAAGTGATAAGAGCTCCCGCTGCTGGGTTTCGTACGCGGTCGCTCGTGGGCTCGGTGGTGATCTCCGCTTCTTCGAGAGCACCTCACCGAGCTGTGCCCGAGCGGGTTTGCGTTGGACACGGCGGGGCACAGTCCCAGTGTTGCAGTCTTTGTACTGTCCGCATTGCTTTAGAAAGATGTGATAGGATAGTGCGTGTTGTAAAAAGTCTTCGCTCAGCCCGCGTAAC